GGGGGGAAGGGGAGGGAGGGGAAGAGGGGAGGGAGGGGGGAAAGGGGGAGGGAAAAAAAAAGAAAAAATTGGAGAAGTCATGTAAATTCTGTTTAATGTATGTAATGTCAATTATATATTCTCCTGATAAATAAAAATTTAAAAAAAAAAAAAAAAAAATTCTTGATTTTATTAAAATATTTATTTTTAATCTGTGTTTTTACTTTTTTAAAGGATCTGTTGCTTTTATGTGATTATTATGGATTGGCTGAATTTTTGATGGACACAAAGTTTCTGAACCGACAGCGGGCCTGAGTTCAGTTTGTCTCCTTCAGTCCATGGAGGACAGTGGACATTGTTTGTTTGGTTTTTAACTTCTGCAAAAACCACTCCTTGTGTTTTGTTCTGGTTGTTGCGGTTTCACTCAGATAATCAGACTGATCCATGGATCAGGAGCTTTTTTAACAAATGTATTTATTTTTTTTTAAACATAACTTTAAAAAAAGCCTTTAACATAACATAATAAACTTATGTTATGTGTTTTGTGTTGGTTTGATAATTACAAAAGGGGCAATAATATTTTTGCTTCTGTCTGTGTGTTTTGTATGTGTTAACAAAATATATCGTTACTCTTGGACAGACTTACTGAAACTCAATCACCTGGTAAACATGTTTAATATCAACTTCATTTTTGAACCATATTTAAAAACAAGGTTGATAAGTGTTTTTACCAGTCAATTGAAATATTTTGATTGAAAATTAAAAAATATAAACATAAACCACCACAAAGACTTGATGAGACTCAAACTGAACTTTGAATTAAAACTAGTATAAAATGTTTTCAGATGGGTCATAAAAGACTAAAGACTCTGAAGGGTTAATATCAAGGGACACGTTGGTTCAGAGTCTGAGGACAGGTTGGTCCAGAGTATACAGGTAGAACAGAGCCCTGCAGGATAGACGGTTTAGACGACAGCTAAAGGTGCTGTCCATCCACAAATAAAAACAGCGTACTGTAACTCACTTTTCACGCATACTGATGCAATGAATGATTCAGTGAATCAGATGAATCCTTCAGTGAATCAATGAATGATTCAGTAAAGATTAACGGTTCAGTGAATCAAAGACATTACTGGTTTTCTCAACATGATGAAAAGTGTGAAATATTCATGAAACCTTAAGGTGAATGAGTTTGCAGTTTTTTTAAAAAGCCCCTAGCCTTTAAATCAAGATAAATTATAACAAACTCAAAGCTTGTTACAGATAAGCCAACAGCTGATTTGTAATATTAGTCCAGTTTAAAAATCTAATTAGTACAACAAATACGTCTGTTTTCCATATATCAGTATCCAGACAAGGAAAATGTAGAAACCTAACCTTTCCCAGACTATTGGAGCCGAGGACTTGTCTGTCCAACAAACACTTCAAACTTTAAACTCAGTGAAAGAATTTACTGGCCTGAAAAATGTGAGCTTTCAAAAAAATACTGAGTATTTTTTTATAGTTTCTGTACAGAACTCAGTGTGAGCAGGCCAGAGCTGAGCAGGAGTGTGAAACTGATTGCAGCCCCCACACACCCATGAAATGATAAAATAAACAAATAAATATATGCATATTTACATAAAACGTTAATAATTCATAACCTTTTGGCCTTTCATGCACGATAAACTTTAATGACTTGTTCAAGCAAATTTAGGTTATAAAGTAGTGATAAAGTTTATGAAACAAACAAACAGGTAAATAAAAGTAGAAAAAATTAAATATAAAAATGTGTGAAAACTGAACCCCACAATAAAAACAGTTTTTATTTGAAATGTTTTATTTTGGTAGTTAGGTTATTTCAGCTTGAAAACTGAGCTAACAGAAGAATATGAACAGATTGTCTCGTTGTTTCAACGGTTTAAATAAAACAAAAAACGGTTTGACAGAATAAATGTGCTTTTCCTTCACAGATATGTGCTGAACACAAACACTGGATGACTCTGTTTTCAACAAACATTTATTATTATTATTATTATTATTATTATTATTAGAGTGGAAAAAAGTGGCAGCTTGGCTGTGGGATTATTTACATTCATGCTGACCCTGGCTCAGCAATCAACTGGCAGGAACCAGCAGTGAACACTTCTGAAGAACGAAGCAGCTGCTGTCAGATCCGAGTGGGTCAGGCACCAGCTTCACCATCAATCCATCTATCCATCCATCCATCCATCCATTATCTTTTACCCGCTTCTTCCATTTTGGGTAATGGGGGTCACCGGTGCCCATGTCCAGCAATCACCTGCAGACAAAAACATTTTGTTTTAGCCTCTTATCTTAACTTGTGTCTCACTGCTCAACTCTGAAAACTTCCTCACTGAGTGGTCAATAAAGAATTCTACTTTGTTCATTCTGTGCAGTTCATCCATTGTGTCTTGGAGGCAATTGGGCCAGGAGAGAAACCCACACTTCCCTCTCCTCCGTGACACTTTCCAGCTCCTCCTGGGTGATCTCCATGACAACCACCAGAGAGGATATAGTGTATCCATCCAGAGAGAGCTGGGTCAGTTGAAGCGGAGCTCCCATCAGTGCAGCCACGCTGTGGCGCTCATGACGTCACTGTCCTGGTGCTGTTCCACTCCATGGACCATAAAGAGATGTGTCATCCACAATGTCTAGCTTCTAAGAGTGAATCTTGTCCACCCCTGGCAGCTTTCCATCAGAGACCTTTTTACTGACCTCAGTGACCTCTGTCATTGTAATGGACTTGTCTTTCCAGAGGTGACTCAGACTCTGCCTCCTCAGTGATGGACATGGTGGCCAGATCCTCAAAGTGCTCCTTCCATCATCCAACAATATCCTCAGTCTGGATCAGCTGTTCCCAAAGCAAACCACGCAAGGCCTGGGACTGGTCCCGCTTTTCTTTTCTGAGTCACAGTATGGTTTGAACCATAGATATCATATAATCACTAGATCCCTCATTGGCTGCTGCGGTGCAGGATTTTCGGCCGCCATCTTGGAGCGGTCGTTCTTATTTGTTAAAGCAGAAGATGTTTCAGCACTTCGCACCTTATTTCTGTTCTAATCGACGGACTGTTGACGTCAGGTCTCGGAGGATAACTTTTCACAAGTAAGATGAACATATTATTGTTAGTATTTTGTGAATATAATATTACTGTACTGTATTTATGTCCACCAGCTGATGTGATGTTCAGTGTAACACGGTGTACAGCTGCAATGAAGCTAACTGAGATCTGATGACAGGAATATTTTTCTAACAAGCATACTCACTATTTCAGCAGCTTTGATTCATTATCAACAGATATGCATCAAAACTGGAGTTTTGTTTAAGTTCTAGGATATAAAAAAATAAAACTAGGGAGAATATAGGAAATAGAAAATAAGATTGACCTCCTTTGTACAATGTTTTTGTGTAGACACAAATCTCCTGTTTTCATTTTGAAGGTTTCCCAAAGAAAAAGATGTGAGGAAGAGAAGGAAGTATCTTTGAGGAGGATTCATCTGAGCAGTGAGGATTTTAAACTGGAGGATTTTGATCAAACTGATCAGACTGTCCGACTGAGAGATGGTGTGGTACCATCGGTTCACCTTCAAAGAGTAGGAGCATCATTATAAGTTCATTAGAGTTCATAAATTTACATATTTTATTGTCAGTAACAAGGTGAGATACCTCCATGTGTTTATATGAACAGGTAACTATAGACTGTAAAGTTCATATTCATGATGTTTTTTTCATTTCAGCTTGAAAACTGCAGGACTACAAGAACTCAACAAAAGCTGGAGCTGCTCTGGCTGTGGCCTCTCAGGAACGTGCACGTCACACACACACTCTCAGGAACGTGCACGTCACACACACAACCTCGGCCTCATGATGTGAGTATTTCTATTTTAAACTTTTATTTTTCATTTACCTTTATTTATCCAGGTAGTCTCATTGAGTCACGAGAACTCATTTTCAAGAGAGACATGTTTAGGAGCAGATGGTGGGGGTTAAGGGCCTTGCTTAGGGGCCCAGAGTGGGGCGTATGGTATGGTATAAAGTTTATTCATTTTAAAAAAGTACAAAACAATTCCATAACAATATAAAAAATATATACAAAAGATTTAAAATGAAAGGCAGCAGAAAGAAGAAAAATCTTATTATATCTGTCCCTTTTTTCAAACAATTATTTCAATCATAATAATTTTCAAGTAACAGAACAAAATGAATAACTTTCTAAATTTTCTAATTCTAATACAAAAAACACACTAAGCTACTTCATATATACTTTCTTAACAATTCAGTTTTGATCTTTTTCTTAAATGTACACATTGACTTGGCATTTTTAACATCACTCTCTAGACCATTCCACAATCCAATTCCTTGGATTGAGGTAGACCTTCCCTTCAGACTAGTTCTGAATTTTGGTTTGACAAATATCTCTGTCCCCTTAAGATTATAACAACTTTGCCTTTTAACAAAATTTATTTGGCTATTTAATGGTAATGTGTTATTTTGAGCCCTATACATAACTGATAAAATACTATAATCTACCAAATCATGGAATTTCAATAACTTCAGTTGATGAAATAATGTGCTTGATGGGTGACTGTAATGCTTTCTGGTGATAATTCTTACAGCTCTTTTCTGTAAAATAAAAATAGGTTTTGTAAAAGTTTTACACGCTTTCCCCCAAACATCAATGCAATAGATTAAATGTGGAACAATGATTGTGCTATATAACATGTACAGAGCTTTATCATTTAATAATTCCCTGACTTTGTATAGTACTGCAATAGATTTAGATATTTTTGTTCTTACAGAATTTATGTGATTTTTCCATGTTAGCTGTTCATCAATGATTACACCCAAAAATTTCATCTCATTAACTCTACAAATCTCAACACCCTCAATTTTAAATGGATCATCAACAATTCTCTTTTTGTTACTAAATATCATGTATTTAGTTTTATCTAAATTTAATGATAATTTATTAAGTTTAAACCAAGTTTGTATTTTATCAAATTCTGTCTTCATCAATTCCAACATCCGTTTTACATCTTTACCCAAACAAAAAAATGTGGTGTCATCTGCAAAAAGGACACATTTGAGGAGTCCTGATACATTCACTAAGTCATTCAAATATAAAATAAATAACTTTGGTCCAAGTACAGAGCCTTGAGGAACTCCACAAGTGATATTGCACAGGTCAGATCTTACACCATTTATTTGTACAAACTGTTTCCTATCTTTTAAATAGCTAGATACCTAGTGTAATGCTGGTCCTCTTATACCATATTTATTTAATTTTTCAAGGAGAATAGTGTGGTCAATAGTATCGAATGCTTTTTTTAAATCAACAAAAATACTAACACAATACTGTTTTTGATCGACAGCAGTAGTTATTTGTTCTATTATTTCCATGAGAGCCATTGATGTAGAGTTTTTTGCTCTAAACCCATACTGACTGCTACTTAGAATGTTTTGTTTAGTAATAAATTTATCTAATCTGGTCACAAATAGTTTTTCTAGAATTTTTGAGAACTGTGGTAATAAGGATATTGGTCTATAATTATTGAACACACATTTATCACCATTTTTAAAGAGAGGAACTACCTTAGCTACTTTCATATTGTCTGGAAATATTCCTTTTGAAAATGATAAATTACAAATATATGTAAACGGCTCGATAACATAACTCATTATGTCCTTTACAAACATCATATCCATGTCCACCCAGTCTTTTGATCTCTTATCTGTGAGATTTTTTACAACATTCATTATTTCTTCTTTGTCAGTTCCATTAAGAAAAATACTGTTGTCACAACTTATAACTGAATGGTTCACATTATTGTCTACTTTTGGCATTTTAGCTGCAAGGCTTGATCCAACGTTTACAAAATGATGATTAAATCCATTTACAATTTCATTTTCAGCATGGATTTCATTGTCATCCTTCAGAAAATATTGTGAAATACCTGTTTTTGCTTTATGACTTTTCAGAACACTATTTATTACTCGCCATGTAGCTTTCATATCACCATTGCTTTTATTTAATAAATAACTATAATATTCCTTCTTGTGTTTCCTTATAATCACTACTAATTTATTTTTATACTTCTTATATTTCTCTTCAGCCTCTTGTGTTCTCAATTTCAAGAAACATGTATACAAATAATTATTTTTTTTACAAGCATTTCTCAACCCACTCCGTCATCCATGGTTGGTCAACAACATTTATCTTTGTACAATTATTTTGCACACAATTCTTTTCATACAGAGCTCCCAAAATATTCATAAACTCATCATATGATCTGTTCACATCATCAACATACACGTCTTTCCAGCTTTGTTTATGTAAATCATCTTTTAATTTGTCCATTGCTTTTTTTGATGTTTATTGTTTTTTCCTTAATTGTGATTTCTTTTGTAATGCTTTGATCATTTTTATAAATCATGAAAACTGGTAAATGATCACTCAAATCACTCGTTAAAATACCTCCCATCACATCCCCATTTGTTACATTTGTGAAAATATTATCGATTATTGTAGCACTATGAGTTGTAATTCTTGTTGGTTTTGATATTAACAGATAAAGATTTAAACTATACAATGAATTTGTAAATGTACTGATGTTATTTGAATCTGTTTTATTTCCCAGGTCAATATTAAAGTCTCCACACAAAAAATGTTTTTATTAAAACTTTTGTCCAATAGTTGTACGATTTTATCAGTGAATATTTCTATATTTGATCCTGGTGATCGATATACACAACTTATCAATATGTTTTTATCATTCTTGTTTATTATTTCTATTGTTATTATTTCCATGATATTATCAACAACTATTGACATTTCATTAATTAACTTACATTTTATTTCATTTTTAACAAATAAAGCCACTCCACCACCTCTTTTGTTGCTTCTGTTCACATGATATAATTCATACCCTTCCATGTGAACATTAGTTGTGTTTTCATCGTTGAGCCATGTCTCTGACAGTGCTATTATTGTAAAGGTTCTGTTTAGCTGTTTTAAATAATCTGTTATTTTGGATATATTTGCGTTTAAACTTCTACTGTTAAAGTGAATAATAGAGAGACCTCCATTTGTTATATTGATATCATTAAACTGTTCTTCATTGTAATATTCAGTCTTTTATTGCAGGGAAAAAATTTGTATCAATCGCATCTTCAACATTGTATATTTTAAACTCTAAGTCTTCGTATGTTGCCATGTTATAATGTATTTGTTTGTTTTATATTTTGTTAATTTCTTGTTTGTGAAGTTATGTCAATGA